CCTAACATTCAAGCTGTACTTTTGCCCAAGAAAACCGAAAAGAAAGCATAAATTGCACATTGTAGTCAAATTTAAATATTTCATCGACGCAACAAAACCGTCCTTTTCAGGACGACAAAATTCATTTACAAAGAGATTCAATATATTTTCTTAAAAAGAGTTGACTAATCTTCTTTTATGATTTTGATAGGTTTATACATACGTACGAAAGAAATTTCATATGTAGGTACATGCGCACACTTTCAGCGTCGATGCTCTTGTTTTCGCACCAAAATTGCGTCTCATTTATAATCTGGTTTTACACATATGTACATACATACAATAAACGAATAAGCCATAGTGGATATAGAATAATTTTACATACATGCATATGTATTTAAGTATACTTTTACGCACATGTACATGCATCCACAACAACTTGACACACTACATTCATACATATTTATGGAACCACATGCATAAAACTAACTGACAGCGTCACTGAAATGCCAAAGGTCTTCTTCTTCTTAATTGGCGCTGTAACCGCCTAAGCGATTTTGGCCGAGTCCAAAACAGCACGCCAGTCATTTCTCTTCTGTGCTAACTGACGCCAATTGAAAATGCCAAGTGAAGCCAAGTCCTTCTCCACCTGGTCTTTCCAACGCAGAGGAGGCCTTCCTCTTCCTCTGTTACCTTTCAGAGCAGGAGCGTTTCTGTCCATCCGAACGACATGGCCAAGCCAGCGGAGCCGCTGAATTTTAATTCGCTGCACTATGTCTATATCGTTGTAAAGCTCATACAGCTCATCGTTAAATCGTCTGCGATATTCGCCATCACCAACGCGTAAAGGTCCGTAAATCTTTCGCAGAATCTTTCTCTCGAAAACTCCAAGAGCCGCCTCATCAGATGCTTTCATTGTCCATGCCTCCGCGCCATACACCAGCACAGGCATGATGAGTGACTTATAGAGTGTGATCTTTGTACGACGAGAGAGGACTTTACTTCTCAATTGCCTACTCAGCCCAAAGTAGCACTTGTTGGCAAGAGTGATTCTCCGTTGGATTTCAAGGCTGACATTATTATTGGTGTTAATGCTGGTTCCCAAATAAACGAAGTCGTCTACTTTTTCAAACTTGTAACTGTCAACAGTGACGTGGGTGCCAAGACGCGTATGCTCTGACTGTTTGTGTGATGACAGGAGATACTTCGTTTTGTCCTCGTTCACCACCAGACCCATTCGCTTTGCTTCTCTATCCAATCCCGAGAAGGCAGAACAGACGTAGCCCTTGTTTTTACCGATAATATCGATGTCGTCGGCATACGCCGACGTGGTTCCGTGCGCAGAAGTGGAAAACTTTTGACTGCCATTCACCTGGGAGTGGCCAGAAGCGATTCTTGTGCGTACGGTTCAAATCGCAGCTCACAACGTCCGGATATTTATATCCACGTATCCTCTGGGTAGCAACCAAACACCCGTTTGGGAGCGAGCTAAAGTGAGAAGGCGTAAAACTTCGCGTGCGCTGGGTTTGGGTCCCGCCACGTTAAAACCCCGCCCAATGAAAAGAAAAAGAAAATGCAAAAGGTACAGTACACAAATTTATAACTCGCAAACGAGTGAAAATCGGTAGGTAAAATGCTGATTTTGATAGTTAAAACTTTGATGATCTCTTGTTTAAAAAACTGTAGTCCTGAAAAGGACCGTTTTTATTGAGATTCTTCGTTGATAAATTAAGCACGCTCTCCGCGAATACGTCTAGCCAGTTGAATGTCTTTGGGCATAATTGTGACGCGCTTGGCATGAATGGCACACAAATTGGTATCTTCAAATAAGCCAACCAAATATGCTTCGCTTGCTTCTTGTAGAGCCATAACAGCGGAACTCTGGAAACGTAAATCGGTTTTGAAATCTTGGGCAATTTCACGAACCAAACGCTGGAATGGTAATTTGCGGATCAACAATTCAGTACTTTTTTCATAACGACGAATTTCACGCAAAGCCACTGTACCAACGATGTGGTTTCTTTATACCGCCAGTCGCTGGTGCACTCTTACGGGCAGCTTTTGTTGCCAATTGTTTGCGTGGTGCCTTACCACCAGTCGATTTACGGGCTGTTTGCTTTGTACGAGCCATTTTCTACTTTTCACTTTATTCAAGAAAGAACACTAACACTGATTCACTGTACACTGTACTAATATTAAATAATACCAAGAAATTCTTTGCTTTATTGAGTAATTTTTTCATATAAATACATTTTGCAATAATCTTACATACTATACATTTGTTTCTAAACGTACCATAGTACTAATCTAAGAGTGCTCATAGTTTTTATTTAAGGTTTAGAATAATGTGGTTTGGCTATATTCAATGAATATTTCTTTTCAATTTAATGTATCCATAAAAAGTTAAAAAAAATGGATTTTCTTTTAATATTTTGTAAAAACTAAAAAATAAC